CATCGAGAGCGTTCCATTTTTTAATCTTTCACTGTTCGGCTGACTGGGGAGATGTACCATACAGTTCGGGTAAAAGAAACATGGAATTGACGGTCCCCCCCCCAAAAAAAAAAACTCGCAAAAAAAAGGGCCTACCAGTTTCAAAAAATATCCATGTCTGTTCTCATGGAATACTTCGGATCTGAATTCTGAATTGAGGGGGAAAAGTGAAAGCTTCATCGTGCCTAAGGCAAGAGAGGAAAATCACCGTTAAAGGTTGGGGACGTTATAAACATGATTGATAGCGTGTCATATATTAATTGAAATGTGCACCTTTGCCAGACTTGGCGCCTGAGGTGCCTGGGACGCATGCAAGTTTTATTAAGGTGAAGATTCCGAATTTTAAGTAGAGGATCGTGTAAGAACCACTGCGTTAAGCCTGATGAGTTTGGGCCCCGCAGGAGGCCAGCCCGGGCCAGGCCGAGACAGATATGGGAAACTCTCTTTGTCGAGCTTGTAACTGCGAAAAAGGGTTGCCCGTTGTCCAGCTTGAAGCTTTTCGTCATATTCCTGAACCAGAGGGAGCGAAGCAATAAAAAGAAAGCGCTCGTTCGCCAAAAGGAAAAGAAACTGAAGTACGGAAGGTATCAAAATCTACTCCCCAGGTCATTACAAAATTGGTTCCATTTAGTTATCTAGTAATAGTACACAATTTCTGTTCCGTTATTACTTTGAAGTAGTGTCACTGAAGTTGGTCACATCACGAAGGAGAGTCGGTGTTGTTAAAGTGATTCTTATCAGACAGTTTCCGTGCAGTACTTCTGTTTACCATAACCATGTGCCAATTTCATCGGGTTTATTTTTTTCATACCCAAGTTTCGTATCGTGAATCCCCAGCTTTCGAAATACCTCCCCGTGTCGGTGCAGAAGTAAACACCACGGGTCGCCACTCCAAACTTTGAACACCTGTGTCCGCAAGTGCATAAAACCGGACCTATTGGGCAGGCCAATCTGCCCGGGGTAAACACAGGGTGTCAGTTGGCAAACACGCCGCCTTTTCTTAGCAGTCTTGTTCAATTTTGCCGAAGAATTTTGGGGGTGGGGTGCTGACAAACATGCTACTGGGTGCTTGATGTGTGTGGCATGTTTTTCTCTCTCACGTTCTTTTTTTCCCTTAATTTTTTGGTAGAGGCACGTCAGGCCTTTAATTTGATGACAGATTTAGTGTCGTGTGTGTGATTTTTGTGAAATGTTGCATGCGCTGGTTTTTAGTTTTAGTGAATTGATGGCTATTTTAATGTTCATTATATTTCAATGTTAATGTAGGCCTATCTCAATGCTAGGTCCAATTGTATATAATGATTTGGTATATTATGTTAATTGTATTTTAACGTTTGCAAAGAATGCGCATTTGAACATATTTGTAATGAAATCTGCGCAATATAAATGAATAAATTATTAATAAATCATTATGAATTACCTTTCTGAAGGCTCCAAGGAAAGAAATACGGTCCAACAAAGAAGACACAAAATGAACAAAAGCTAGACACATTGGTGATATTTCCTTGTTTTTCATAATACTTCTTTCTGTTGCACCGTGAATTGTAAACACTTCTGTATTAAAGTAGCACCCTTTCTATCCATTATAATTATATGGCCCATGCAAAACAGTGGATCTTAATTATTTTAAAACAAAAGCTGCAGTTATTGCACTGTTCTTCTTATATGCACCACCTATCATAGGAAACATTTACACACTTTGCGCACGTTATCGTTAGTGCAGTGCAACAGTTCTACATACTGTTGCCTATGGTACCGGTGCCAGGTACTTCGTGCCTTCCTGGTACCTTTGGGATCAAAGGTACCATACACTCTAAAAACACCATATTTGACCCATAAAGGGTAATATATGACCCAAAAGGGAGTCATATTAAAGCTGCCGTTATTCCAGTGTTCTTCCTATTTGCACCACCTACTATAGGAAACATTTATAACTTTACGCACATTATCGTTAGTGCAGTGCACCAGTTCTACATATTGTTGCCTATGGTACCGGTGCCAGGTACTTCGTGCCTTTCTGGTACCTTTGGGATTAAAGGTACCATACACTTTAAAACACCATATTTGACCCAGAAAGGGTAATAGGCCTATATGACCCAAAAGGGAGTCATATTTTGACCTGGAAAAGGGTCAGGCCCCATGGGAACCCACATTCCGGGAAAAGGGTCAGGCCCCATGGGGACCCAGATTCCGGGTCAGTCTGGCCCTGGTGTTTTAGAGTGTACCGTTGGTACCCCGCGTTGGATATGACCAATTTAAAGAAGGAAATTCGTGGCACTGTATTGCCAACTGTTTCACCAATACGGCTGGAGGAAGAAGTGTTTGCCATAGCGTTTCTAGAATGTCACGCAGGTCTCTAGCCTTTAAATGGGTTCATTGGTTTTGCTATTTAGAATGTTGATTTGAATTATTCTTGCACTCAGGCCGCGCTTTGTCGCGGCGTGGGGTGGGGTTTCGGGTTATTACGCAAAACTTGGGCCAAAGGAATTCAAATTTATATATACAGTTTCAGATATTGTTGAGTTCAACTTTATGTATACAGTTCTGTGGCAGGTAATTTATAAAAAATATATAAAAAGGCAATAAAAAGCAATGCCGCTAGATGCAGGGCCTGTGTAAGTGCGTCGGGTGTTCCACAGAGGAGAATTGCTTTGATTTGAGAACCACCTGAAATATGTGAACAGATTAATTGACAAAAAAAAACCACGGTAGGGGAAGACCAATCTCCCGGCCACGTGGCCTCATTCACCCTCGTTCAAACAAGACTTCATTAGAAAGGGAGGCCAAATTAATATCCATTCCAGGCTGTCGGGATCCGACGCGTCGGCTTTTCGTTTTCGGCCCCCTACATTGTTCCCTGGTCAGCCAGTAAACACGGACCTTTATGAGAATAAGAAAGTCGGGTTATTCCGAGGCGTTGATCACACAGTGTGATATGCCGGTTTCCTCCGCCGTGCAACACCGACTGTATACATTGCACCGAGACCCGGTGATGATACGCCAATCTCCCGGTCCTATATATACGCGGAAACCGAACGAAGGGGGTCCTTCATCACACAGCAACTACTCACAAAGAAACGCGGCGTAGTTTGCCGAGCCGCCTCGCCGAGAATTCCTGTTAATTTTACAACAGGAAGCTGTTTTGGGGCTGGCTGGCTGGCTGGCTGTGTGTGTACAGCTCCTTTTCTTTTAAGGGTTTTGTTTTGAGCAGGCCGTGCTGAGGCCTTCCCCCGGCCTATCCTCTGATGACCTGGGTTGACACACCGGGCTTTTCTCGCCAGGGGAAGTGTGAGCAGCGCGCTCCGTGCTCGGCTGCTTCCGCTCGATAAACGGCAGGGTAAATGAGCTGCTTGCTTGAAGTGCTTTGTATCCAGAATGTACTCACCAGATTATGAAATATTGGTTCTTTTTTTTTCTTCGGGGTCACAGTTGCCAATTGGCTCTATGCAACACTGTGCACTTGGAAGTTTAACATGACACTTTCAGGCGCTGTGTGTATTTGGATCCTGAGGTATAACAGTGATCCATTATTATTCTCAGAAATGTTCCACAAGTGAAATAGTCGGACTTCCTTCACAGAACTGTATCGTGTAGGCGTAACATGTCTACGTCCACGCATGCGTGGAAGTTTGGGAGAGGCACAGAAAAGTACGAGGGGGAGTATATACTCCTTTATATATACCGCGTGCGGGAAAATGTATACTTAATTACGCCAAGCGTTGGTGCTCATACCTTTTCCTTCAAGTCCGTAAAAAAACAGACAATTAATGAGGCCTACTCTGATTTGGTTTATCTCCATTTCATGTCTTGTAAAGTTGAGCCAGGCGCGGTTCTATTTTTAGGGGAGAGGCCTAGACCGTTTGCACATGACGTCACCTTTTAACTTTCACCACTGCAAATCCAGTATTTTCCTCCCTTGCTACGTTTTTCTATTTTTGTATTTTGGGGGGCTAGACAATTTTTTTGGGGGGGAGGCTAAAGCCTTCCTAGCCCCTCCTCCAGAAGAACCGCTTTGATTTCAGGTCCCTTGTGACGAAATAAGTTGTCACTGAACCAACCATGCGTTATATCCTTTTCCAAAAGTGCTCCTGAAGAAAACAATATTGTCTCTTTCATTCTATATTGCTGTTGAGCTTTGGAAGATATTTAATTGGCCTATATCTGCTAAAGCCTTGTTTAAGCAGTTCAGATTTTGCAATAATTAAAGTGTTCCATTCTTGATAAGAAGTGCCGTATAATGAAGTCTACGGGGTCGGCAAACAAACGGCGAAATGAAAGCGGGGGACAATGCAAACAAAAGTATCGATTGAAAAATCCGTTTTGTGAATCTAAATTTAATATGCTTTGGGCCTATATGGCTTAATGCGGCAGTCTGTGCCAATATTAATCCGCCAATAGTTGTCGTATGTACACCTGTATCGCTGTACACAAATGACTAGGTCGAGCCAGCCTTCATTTGGTACGGTCCGATTTAATTGAGAAGCTAAAAAGTGTTACTTAATTAAGTTTTTCCCCACTCCTTCTTTATAAAGTGTCGCGTGAAATTTTAGATGTTATTTTTTTAGTTTTTTTTCTGTTGAGTTTTCTGAAAGTGTCATTGTTTGGTTGTAATGACTCAAATTTCGTCCAGTTAGGGTGGCTGTTAAACAGTTAGCCGTGTAGACCATTCAAATCACAGTGTGGGGCTGATGTAGAAGGTTGATTATATATTTGAATTGACTTAAGTTCTTCAAAATTCTGTTAGCGTGTGGTTTTTTGATCAAGTGACGTATTCTCAACTAATATTAACAACTTAACAACCCCCACAGAACCTTGTCGAATGAGACTTAGCACTTAACCAAGTACAGAAGTACGCTTCAGTAATTCTGACGTTCTTTGTCGTCAGAAAAGATGTGAAATGCCGCGTGTTTCCGCAGAGGCAAGTGTTTTGAAAAATAAAATTATTTTGCCCTTCTTTCTAGGACTGGGAGACTCATGGGGTAGTCGAATATCTCCATCCCACGTAGACAGCATGGCCAAGGAGTTGGGAGCGCATCTCCTGCAGGTAAAGAATAACGACAGTGTGTCAAGTGAACCAAATTATAGAAGAATTTAAAACAAAAGTTTTACCAAAGGGTCGCATTGGAAAACTACTTACATTGGATATTGCATATTGTGGTTTTTAGTTGCAAATAATTGACCGACAAACAATTTTCTATTCATTTGAAATGCACCACTTCTTAAAATACTTACATTAGAATATAATAGTTTTTTATGCAATGTTACGTTAAACAAAGTTATAGGTAAATTAATATTGTCGTGGTTAGTATCATAACCAATGCGAAGACTCACTTTTGATATTGCTTTTTTTCTGTGTAGACACTCGATGGCTTCATTTTTGTTGTTTCTCCCGATGGCAAAATTATTTACATCTCCGAAACGGCGTCAGTACATCTGGGTCTGTCACAGGTGAGAATTACCATAGCCCCATGCAAATCAAGGTGTTTTTTTGCTGAGATGTTAAAGGTAACTTTCACTGTAGATTTAATTTATCTTCAAATCCAGTTTCAAAGAGCGCATTATTTTTTGCAAGGCACCTTGTGTCGTGAACGGGGCAAGGATAGACGAACACATTAAGCGTTTGCCCTTTCCCTCTTTGGAGCAATGGCTTTAGTGATGTTTTTCGGACCGACCCTCTCTTGAAATAAACCCTTTTGTAGGAGTCCACAAATAACAACACCACCTAAGTCTCACACTGGAATCGATTCTTCTCATGTTGGCATCGGGTCTTTGGGGAACCGAGTACTTGCTTTTGCAATAAAAGCCAGACGCTAGCCCATTCATCATTAATGATGAATGGCCTTCGCACTTCCTGGTAACATAGGATTATACGATATAGTTCCCGGCGAACCCGCCTTTAGAAATCCCAGCGCCTCTGGCAACCCGTACCCCATTCGCCTGGAGTTTGCCTCCACAAAAGAAAATCGTGTCAAGTGGACCTCTTGGCCTAAATAAAATCCCCACGTCCTTTTGTGACAATTATTAGCCATCCACTGTAAATGACCTTTGTATGAGACTTTCACGCAAAGGACCAAACACATTGGACGGGACAACAAGACAGTTTTGTGTGCTCCCCCATCACTGCTGGAAATTCCAAGTGACGTGTGGTCTGACCCAGTTTCGTCAAGAGCAGAGTAGGCAGTTCTAGATCAAGGTTGCCCCACAAAAGCTGCTTTGTCGGGGAGAAGGGGCGTAAAAATGGCAGAAAAAAAAACAGGTTTACTTTTGTGACGCTTTGAAAGCCAGAAGCTTTTCGACAAACTAGGTATGGTTGGCTATGTTTGCCTAGTCTGATGAAGTACACGCTGGTATTTTTTCTGAAAAAAAATAATCATCTGCGCTATGTTTGCTGTGGCGGTGCAAAGAAAAAGAAGTGGATTTCGAGCTGGATGAGCCACACAATTGGAGGCAAAGAATCGCGACGTTTCTTAACAGCCTCACGTATTGTCTAACACTTGTACGAGTGTTGTCGAATTTGTTGGAAATGGTGGCAGTGAGCTCTGTAGTGACCACTGTTGCGGTCAAACACGACTTCCAGAGGCAAACTCACTTGAAGTAAAAGTCAGATTGCAGTGGTATTCGGTATTTCAAAATTGAATATCCGTACTCCCTTTAATTCGAAACCATCAGTTATCAAGGAACGGTAGTGGTTTGCGTCAGCAGTATTCGGAAACATGGCATCAATGGGCTTCATCACGTGCTCAGAACTGTCGCGGAATAAATTGAGAATTTTCTGGCGGGATTAAAAATGTAAATGAATCAGGAAACTGGGGACGAGCAGAGTCTAGTCTGAGACGAAGTTGCTAATAATACGGCTTTTGATGAATTTTTGAAGGATTTGCTTGTAGTTAAAGATCTAGACAGTGGAAAGAAGTGAAGGTAAACGACCGAACTTCGCGCCTTGCACTTGAGGAAAACTGACGTGATGGCGCGAGGTGTTCGATTCCACGCCGGCTGGCTATCTACCGTACATAGCTCTGGGACCGTCTTGAGAGCCTGCCGTGACTGTTGGCTTCCCTACCGTTGACTTTGTTCGGTCAAGCGTCCCAAGAAGCCGGCGGCTTTGCACTTTCACTTCACCCGGGCCAGCGGTGCTTCCGTGCTGTGCAAACCAGGCCTGCGCCGCCATGCCGATTCTGTCAAATCCTCCATAGCCTCTAAAGCCGGAAAACGCTTACACAATCGCGGGGCGGAGAGGTGATATTAGGGTTTAATGTACCGTGGTGCAAATCGCGGGCTGAATGTAGGTCAGGCCAGCGTCGTACGTAAATACTACCCGTTGGCCGACCGATATCTTTAGGGGGCGTAGGGCTACCTCTTGTTGCATCAACACTGGCTGGTAGTGTGCTATTTCGTGTGATTGCTTCTTTAACTTTTGTTATAAAGCCGCCAATCATTGTACCAACGCAAGTGCATGCGGCTCGCAGTTTCTGCGATTCATGCACACACAATTTCTTTACCATCAGCGTCCCCCTACTGTGCGTTACACACGGCAGGTGAACTTAAAAGTTTGTTTTGGGCGGGGAAATTAGGTCACAGCGACCGCCTGATTTGATAAACTCAAAATAACATTGACGCCTTCGAAATAGAATACAAATCGGCTTACGATTTACACAGCCCCTTGGACTGTTGCATTATCGGCTGTGATATGACGATGAGACTGTTTGCTGTAAGTGATCCACCCAATCGATGACTGTTGTGGCAAAATACTCACAGTAGAGACTGCTGAAAGTAGATCGTCAAAGATGGCTTTGGGTGTAATATGGTTTGAACAACAATATGCCACAGCTCATCTTGTAGTACATTGGTCATTCCTTACCCGTCAAAGCTCCTGCATCATTGCATGCAGGCTCACGCATGTTCAGCCACGACGACAGTGCCGCGGATGACCATGGGCCGACCATGAGGGGGGGGCAATGCCATCCGAGCCAACGATGCCACGAGAATGACCTTAGTGGCAACCACTCCCGCCGCCTTGTAAAATTATTACCAATCTGGGTTAAGCCGCGCCAAATCCAATTGAGCGATCAACCCCACAACGGCAGTAAGCTATCACAACCCATTTGTCATAGAGATGAGTAACCAGTCTTTTACCCTGACTTGAGAGGGGAAGGGACGGGTACCAGGACCATGCAGTCGTTGTGGTTTTGGCAATCTATTAGGGAACGACTTGTTCATTCGTAGGTATTTCTCGTCGAAGCTGCTTGAAAATGGGGAACTTTCTGCTACTGTTTCATCTGCACCAATATAATTGTACGTTCACTTTTTGAAATACCGATCATGTTTGATGGTATACACCAAGATCCATGGAAATGCAGCCACGTGCGAAATTGAATTTCACGAGAATGAGGAAAGAGTCCGTTCATTGAAGGCCGGCCATGGTTTTTTTTTTAATTTAAATGGGCTGTTTATTTGTCACAGGTTGAGCTTACTGGCAACAGTATCTACGAGTACATTCATCCGGCCGATCATGACGAAATGACGGCTCTATTGACGGCCCACCAACCATATCACACGCACGTACTCTCGGGTAGGTTTAACCTAATCATAAACCATCTCTGAACTGCCTGTTACTTGTCATTGCGGATATTCAGTTACCTGTCGAACTAGCAGCTCATGTCCTTCCAAGAGCTATCTTCAGTGAGCAAAAACAAACCCAAAAACCATACTAGTGGAATGATTTTCCCGTGCGTTCATTGTCACATTTCCCACACAATCCTGGTTCGTCCATGTCTACGATTATAGGCCAAGCCCAAATAGAGCGTTTTGTTATCTCGTGACAGCTGCGCCACTTTCTGTCGCTAGCATGTCATGCTGCATAACCCAAGATCTGCACAGTGATGACCCTTTTAGACATCGTCCGAGTAAACATCAAAGATGGTGGACCAAAGAGGGTCAAATTGGAAAATATGTATGGTGCCATTACAAATGGTGTTGTTTTTTATGCCTTGGTAGTTTTCCATTCTAGGTGGTTTCGGCAGTAATAACAGCAATATTTACCTGTAATTTCAGATTATGAGATTGAGAGGCAGTTCTTTCTACGGATGAAGTGTGTGCTAGCCAAGCGCAATGCCGGGCTTACGTCGGGTGGATATAAGGTAAAGCTTTGAAGATTGTGAACCCATGTGATGGCACGGTGGCACCAACATTACAGTTCGAACTTGGAAACGTTGTGGTCGCTTGGTGGCAGCAAACACCGATGTCGACCCTCCATAATGTTTGTTCTGGAAAAAAGGGTCTGGGCAATGAAAGTGCGGTGATGGGTGGGACTCCTACGATTCGGTCGTTTTCGGAAAATATTCGGTATCATGCTGTTGACAGCTTATCGAACAATTAAGCCGTTTGTTGGAAACGCTGATATCTAAGCCAGCTATTGCTGTGTTACCTTTGCACTATTTTAATGTCAGAGGTATATGAAGCAGGCAGTTAGTTCCGACATGTATAATTTCTGACAGACAGCTCGCATTCTTACGATGACATGGTCATTATTCCTTAGAGGAAACAAACCTTGTGCACCCGTGTCGGACGTTTCGGTACTCGTGGTTGAATTCTTTTTCTGCGCCATTTCTTCATGAAACGAAGTTTGTCTTACTTCCAGGTGATTCATTGCTATGGATACCTGAAGATCAAGCAGTACTCCATGGACGTGGCCCCGTACGATGGATGCTACCAGAATGTCGGCCTGGTCGCCGTGGGTCACTCGCTGCCACCCAGCTCGCTCACGGAAGTCAAGATGTATAACAACATGTTCATGTTCAGGGCCAGCCTTGACATGAAATTGATCTTCCTTGATGGAAAGTAAGTCACCACTGCTCCAGATTGGCCGAGCTTAACATGTCGTTTCGTTTCTTGAAGGAATATTCTTAGTGATAAAACGAGATAAACAGACATTCACTTATTCCTTTGGAAGGAAAGAAGATGTAAAAGGCTAAGAATATGCAAATATGAATTTTCTTAGTTATAGACCTTGTTAACCCACGTGACTGGATTGCGTTAAATATAAACAATACCACCATGTATGGACCGTCATGGCCACGGTGATTGCATTATATTCCTATGGGCAGCTTCAACCACGTGCAAGAGCACTTGCGAACGATGCATGCTTTACAAGTTTATCTTGAATAAGTAGATTAATAATCACAACACTACGCACTCATTACCATCACAACACATTGCGGTCCAGCACGATCGTGACATCACAGGAAAAAGGTCTATAGTTTCGATCCACTATTACTTTTCGTCTGTAATCTAAGGTGACAGTTCGACACTTGAACTACAAAACTCCACCGAATTCACACTAGTCGACCACAGGTATGACTGGAGAACCATTGACTGCATTGGCTGTGACCGTGCACATTGCAATTTACAGCAGAGTCAGGAACGAGCGCTTCTGTGACGTCACCCAGCTTTATTGTTCGACTGCATGGACTCTGATCAAAATATGCTAGCAGACACACCACACGTCCAAAATCAGTGTTGATTTCACAAAATCAGTGCTCCGTAATCTTTAATCATTGGCCACGTGTCTGTCACTCCTGTTCCATTTCACTGACATCAAGGCCCTGCTTGTTCTCACTTTCTCACCGAACATATAGTCCTGGACACTGATCTAGCCGTCTCACTTCATCCTCGTTGTTTCTGTTTACCCCCTTGCCAATAGGGTCGCACAGCTGACGGGGTACGAGCCGCAAGACCTCATTGAGAAGACGCTTTACCAATTCCTTCACGCCACCGACATACTGCATATCCGGTACGCCCACCATACATGTAAGTGAATACTCCCCAAAGCACTTTTTGTATTCATTTGTGTGTTAGTTTTTGTAAGGCGTCAATGCAGTATTTTTAGAATGGTGGTCAGCAAACAGTTCAGCCCCATGACTACGATTTCAGTTCAGTTTCCAGCATTTTCATAATTGCTCTTGTTAACGCTCTAGCTAAATATCTGTTTCAATATGTACAACCTGCCCGTGGTAATTGCATATGCAGTAGATCACATGGCCAGTACAATTGAACGTTCCAAACCGAACGTTCCAAACTGCCCAAGACACACGATTACATGAATATCGTTGCAGGTAAAAAAAAAATAAATGACTTGAAACCTCGAAGTCTCCCTGTTTCCCCAACAGTGCTGGTCAAGGGTCAAGTAACAACCAAGTACTACCGGTTCTTGGCTAAGCATGGCGGCTGGGTGTGGATGCAGAGCTCGGCCACCATCGTGCACAACAGCCGGTCATCGCGCCCTCACTGTATTGTCAGCGTCAACACTGTCCTGAGGTTAGTGTGCGACCCTCTGCGTCATGCTTGACTATTGAGGGCGCTAGCGTAGCCATTCATTTGCTCGTCCAGGAGTGCCCAGTAAGGTCGCTGGGAAGGGCACATACATGATGCATTAGCTTTTGTGGATCAATCATTGGACAGAGTTCACTTGAACAGTAACAAGGGTCACAGTACCTTCCATGTGTGCATGACACGTGTGCACTGAGCGTACATGAGTTGCTTAGGACATCGACAGCAAGCAATCCGAACTCTCTGTGCGTCGCAGCTGTGACGTATTTCTTTCAGACGATTTGTTAAAGGTAATTGCCCGTCCCAGTCCCATGTCAGTCAGGGTGGTGGGGGACCGGCCAACGTCACTTTGCGGTGATAGTGTAGAGTTACTGATTGGGGTCTCAAATGTCAAACACCCAATTATCTTTCGCTGGCAATACTAGTAATGCAGTTTTTTATAGAGCGTTCCAGAAGGACTGTGTGTCCAAATCTGAGACGGTAATACAACACTGTGCGAGATAGTTGTTCTAATCATTGGCTTAGATGCACACAAGAGTTAGAGAACCGTCTGCCAAATGCTACTTTATATCACGTTCAGAAATCGTCAATAATGTACAGTATGTCTTGTACAAGCCTAAGCCATTAAATCACTACAAACCCAGAACCCCCTTTGTAAGAATGGTGTTAGTTGAGCGCTTAACTTTCGATTGAAATAAAGAGAAAACATTTTATCCCTTTCAACAGTAATATTGAGGACAAAGAGCTGATTCTCCAGCTAGATCAGCTCCAGGCCAAGACGGAGTCTGCTTACACCAGCCTTCAAGAGAAAAACCGACCAACCAAAAGCCACCGATCAAAATCGAAGAGCAAAGCCAAGTTCACACCGTACCAACTTCCGACGCAGCCAGTAATGTACGGGGAGGCCGCATCCAGTGCGGACTACACGCAAGCTAAGGCGTACGCACAGTACGCAGCGGCAACTACGTGTGATGTGCCCATGCCTGCGGCTCAGTACGCGTCCGTCCCGTATCAGGAAGGCATTGAGCGCTACAACGCGATGTACCCTCACGCCGGCTACACGGCTGGTTACCAGCACAATATGTACGCGGACAGTCCGTACAACTACAGTAACTCCTTTGCATACCCTTCTGCGGAGGCCTATGCACACTGTATGAACGAAAGGTTACAAGGGTACCGCGGACATTACGGAGATGATCGGTACTATGCAGCTTCCGCGGACCCCAGGGGATATTACCATCACTGGACTGCATCCACAGACAGGCAACTATCGCAGGCCCAAGAGTACCATTCAGACGTGTCCGGCTCAAACGTGGCGAGTAAGAAAAGTTCTACGCATGTGCAATCGGAGCATGAGCGGCTCCAGGAAGCCAATCCCGTGTCGTGTTGCAACGGGGCTGCCGTTGCCACCGAAAGCAACCAATCGGAGCTGCTCTTACCGCAGTGCGGGCACGTGCCCAACGTGTCCTCACCTTCGCAAGGACGCCCCCAGCACGAGCAGCTGCCTGAACTGACGTCGTGTCAGAGGCAGTCACCTTTACTCCCCAGACGCAGTCCATCCAACACCTCTGACATATCGCCAAGGAGATACCACGGCCGTCCAAGCATCAGGGAGACCCAGGAGCCTGTGGAAACCAACGGTATGCCTTCTTCGTCCAAGTTCGACAGCCTGGTTCAGGCCACTCAGAGACTCGTCAAGGACGAGCAGAGCAAAAAGCAGCCGCGGACAAAATCCTCCACGGCGGGACAGCCTGCCGACACGGCGTACGGTCAGCGGTCCAGTTCAGCCGGCAGTGCCGAGCAGTCGTGTCGCCAGAGCAGCCCACTACAAGTAGACTCCCTGCCGGCACGGTCGAGCGCACGAACTCAACATCACAGCATGGAAAACGGTGGCGAGATCGAAGGCAGACGATCTCGAGACTACCACAACCATGTCGACACCCATCGCTCGTCATTTATGAGTACATCTGAACACACGCCGATCTACCCGATGACCTTCTCGCGAGCGGACCACTCGTTGAGCAATCGAAACAGCATAACTGACCTTCAAGACAGGGGCTCCGACACTGCCAGCTCTTTGTACAGCGCCACCAAGGAACATTCCACATGCTACTTCAACGATGCCGCCAGCAGGGCCTACCTAGCATTCACCGATGGTGGCGCTCTGTCGAGTTTGCGGCGGAGCGGGAAGGAGCACAGCTTCATGCACACGAATAGTGCCATCTGTGACAGAGCTGCCATGGGATGGTACAGTAACGGCGCACACGCCCACAAAGAGCACATGACAAACGGATACGCCTACTAGCACACACGTAACATTTAACAACAGTCACGTGTGCTGCATGATGTGGCGCATGCGTCGAGGCTCCCAATCTGAGCTGTCCTCGCAACATTTCGGATATTGCACCTTCACGTTTTGTCAGGCTTCTCTGGTGCAACAGATCTCATGCTATTTGTGTGTGTTAGCCTTCAATCACTCTCTGTGAATAGTACTGAAAATTTCAAACTAGTGAGCATTAATAATCAAACCAGTTTTATTGTCTCTCAGTACTGCCTCGTTAACATGGTGTTACATCTTTTTGCGACCAATAAAATCTTGTGTATCTAGGGTTGGATCCTTCTGTTCAAGCGCTACTGACCATGTTATTTTCAACATGGCACTGAATTTGTTCAAAATCGCTTTTTTAATTGCAAACAGCTTGCTTTTACTAAACTTTTTGGAACAATAACAGGTATATTAGCAGATGCAAATTGCATGTCAAAGGTCAGCTAGGGTACCCAAGAATTGAAAACATCCTGTTTGTTCATTTTCACCTGGATCGTAATACAGAGGATCAGTTTCGGGGTTCTTTTGCATTTGAGGTTTGGAATTGATGCAGTCCACTAGCTCTGAAAGTGTGGAATCGAATGCAATGGAATTGTTGTCTAAATTTTCAACGGGTGTATTCAGGAATACCAAACTGAATTAGCCTGTGCTTATGTGAAATGAAGTATTTGCCACTCATGGTATCAGCAAGTTCAAATTGGTAGATTTGTCCCAACAACCTGATTTCTTCTTCGGGCCCTATTAAAAAGCAAAAACTGTTAGATTATTGAAGTGAGAGACCCAGGCTAACTGTCGGGTCTTTTTTATGCAACTGACCTTCACATTGTGATATGCCTAACGAAGATGAGGATTGCTCGTATGACGTTGAGCGTAAATGTTGCATAGGTCATTCCTTAACACAACATTAGGCCAAAGTTGGAGCCAAGGCTGAGAAAAATGTATAGTTGGGGGGGGGGCGGTCCCGATCTATGTACTTAAGTCTGCGGACAAGACAGTGAAACTGACAAATAAGCGATGATTAGGTTTGGTCGTAGCCGATATGACAAGTGTTTCGGCCATGTGGCCACAACTTACTGCGCTCAAAAGCAAACCCCCTGTTCGTTTGTGTGACAATATTGGTGTCGTAAGATTGCAATTGCCCGTACTACCTTATGGTCGCCATGAAGCGACCCAGTAAGCCCCGCCCACTGCGCACCTGAGCATTTACTTCTTTCCAGTACCTCACTGCATGTTTCAGTCACGCCAGTCATACGCACGGGTGTCGGACTGCCGTTCCTCAATCACAGCTGTGATTGGTTCAAAGACCACGGGGTGGGGCTTAAATTGGTCCATCGGGCAGAAAAGTCTAGACCGGCTATTTTATCCATCGTACGTGGCATACGATGCAAGGCAAAATGTCTGGTGGGGCCGGCAATACTTTGTGCTTTTATAAAAGCAAGAGTGGACGGTGGGTGGGGGGTTGACGGGCCGTGGCTGCATTTTATTTTCCATTCCTTCAAAAAGACCATAGTTGAATGACAAATTTCCAATCTTTACCCCCAAGCCCCCCCCCCACGAGACTTTGTTCTGGATGCCACATTTATATAAAAGTGTGACTTCCGGTCGCGACAGTCAGGACCTCCTGTTGTTCACTGCAATATACCCCAGTGGTCGTAAATACGGCCCTCCTCATCATAGGGAAGCCATAGCCTTGAAACCTTTTAGCTCGTTCTGCTGTGTCAGTTGAGTCTTGGGTTACTTTTGTTTGGCCTGCTGGTTATAAACAATCAGTTTTAAAACAGTTGATTATGTCTCTAGACAGGAGTGTTGCGGAAAATAATTTTTTGGGGGGTCAACTTGAAATTTAGTTTGGGATGCTTACAAACGAACCTGCTTCATACAGCACAGACAAAAATGTAGGTCTCTCTGCCATCATAGCTTTTACTTCTTAATTAATTGTACAGGTTATAGTCCTGAACCCTGTAAGGATTTCATGCTAATTTTTGTTTGATTTATTTATTGTCCTCTTAACTAAAAAGTTGGTTTCTCTTGCCACTTGTACGTATACATTTTTGTCAGTGTAACTTATACATACTTGTGTCAGTTTTATCAGATAAACACTATTGAGATATAGATAGAACCACGGTGGAATAAAATATTTTGAAAATACTAAATGAAAGAGTACTGGGCTTTGAATCGCCAAGTCCCAACTAAATTTACTTATTTTTTCCTTTTTATGTATCTCAATTCTTTGACGTTTTTGGTATATAAAAAGGAGCTTCAATGAATCTTTTTTTTTTTGCTACGTCTTGTTCACTCAGCCTTAAAACAAGAATATGAAGTATTCATGAACTTTGGTGATTTCGAACATTCACGATTCTGTGGATAACTAGAGGGTCACTTCGTCCATAGCATCTATACTGGGCAGATATTTCATGCTGCTGACAGGGAGGCACCTTCAAAGACGGGTGTCTGACCCCTGCTCCCTGTACATGTATGTGTGTTCTAGCATTTAGTCTGCAATATCGGTGAGCAGCGCCGTCAGGTTGTCCTGTGCACTCTAAACGGCCTCATCGGGCAAGTTCGACCTGCGACAATCTGTTTAACCATCACTCGATTTTGCCTGGTGCTGGTATAATATTTCATGCATATAGGTTACCAGTCAAAATCAACCATTGGTTGACAATTTATCACAGATCGAATTGTCCCTTGCTGCAGGTTATCTGTAATCCAGCACCAAACCTTATCGTGAAGCTGCTATTTTCTTATTCTGACAGCAAAGTTCAGTTCAAAGAAGCACGTGGAGAATTGTTTCAGTCTTCCTTGTTGAGGTCTCTACAAAGCGCCCTCATTGCTCAGTTTGCAAGTGGACGCTGCATCTCACTGTTTAGCACGAGTCGAGGCCATGAGTGTCCTCAGGTCCATGACCAGTCTTGGGTCACAAGAACGCCTCTCAGGCCCAAGCGAGACCAAAAGAGGGCGTAATTTTCCAAGCAACAGAGGCTTCTTTAAGGTGCCTTTTACTTCTACGTGCGAGCTCGTGAATATTTTACGATCCTCAGGTCGTTTAGAGTAAGGGCATAGGAACCATGTTCGGGACGGGTCAAAGAGATATTTCTAAAAATCACGAATTTGGGACTTATGACTTTCAACTCGAGGTATGCCGGTCACAAACAACACAGGCGGGCGGCTACATTCAGAACTACGAGCATAGTGTCATGAAATTCAGTTCAAATTAGAAAACGTTGGAAACAAATTCGGCTGAGTGTTTCCTGGCCTGGCAAATCTGAAAATATCTCGGCAAATTCCACATTTTAATATAAAAACATTTAATTTAAGAATTTCTTCAAAATTGATGAATTCTAGAAAACAACTTCCCCTCAAATACCCAATTACAAATACTTCAGTAATATCATAGAGCAAGGGCACAGATGGTAAGATAATCTGTTATTTGGGGGCAACAGTTGTAAAAAAGTTCATTTTGTGGCACTTCCTAAAGAAAAGAAAAAGAAAATCGTGGCTGGTTCCATGATTCTTGGAGGGGGGGTCATTTTTAGCAAGGGGGACGGTTACTGTGTTAATTTCTTTGTTCTGCCCTTATAATAACCGATCTCGAAACAAAACCCTTACAGAATTTATGTTTTTGGAAGGGGTTTCAACCTTAAGACGTAGGCTGCATAGAAATGGAGGGAGCAAAAGGGGGGGTGTTGACCCCCAAATCCTCTCGATAAACGTCAGATCAGCCAAATTCAACTGTGAGCACATGCTAAGGCACAATTAAGAAGTGTATGTGCCTGGTTAGGAGCTGCACCCCGTTAGTGTACAAACACAAACTCCTGAGCTCTCATCCTTGAATACCTGAACAAAAAGAAATGCATTTTTACTCAGTTAAAACTTTACAATATAAAATCAATATGGATCTCAGATCCCGCTTGCTAACACTATGCTATGTGTCAGAAAGACCTGGTTGTGAGTAAAGGAGTTGTACCAATCCACGTTACCCCGCCCGTGTCCGACATTGCCGTAGAAGTGCAATACCGCCCTCTATAGTTTGTACGACACTAGCAAAATGGCGGCTCCCATGAATTTGCTTGGAGTGTTTGTCGAAGTTCGTCAACAGATTCGTGCCGTTCAAGCCGTGCTTTGTATTAATACATCATTTACAGATGAAGACTCTTGGTAAGAAAGTCCGTGTCTTTGAAACAGAACTACAAACATTGTATTTAATCATCAGTGTTCGGTTGAAATGAAGATGTTTGGCTGACCATTTTCATGTATTCCTCCGTCATGTCCATGGGCTGATGGCACTGAGCAGGCATGGAAGGGTCGCCACACACGACACAGCAAGCCTGCAGTTTGGAAACGACGCACCGCTACACACGTAAATCCCTATTCATAAAAAATGCATGCGCAGGGAAAATGTCCATGAGAGGCACATGTTTCAAAACGCTTTCGCGATTGGAAACTCTGCCTGAAATGTCAAAATTTTAATATGTTTGAGTAGTTCGATGCATGCATGCACCACCAGCAAATCAACTTTGCTTGTTGAGCTGCTTGTGTACGCAGGAGGAATTGACTTTCAACAGCATTATCCCAGGCATGAGATATGTTATTGCGGTGCCATTGTTTTAACTTTTTTCCCCAGGTTTTCATTTCTATGTGTGGAACAGGCTATGTTTCAACTTAAGACAATTTAGATACCCCCTCGTTAAAACAAAATAAGTTTATCATTCCTCTGAGACATTTTTCCTTCACTTTATGAAGCAACATATTGCTTGTCCACATAGATGTAGACTAATTTTTGAAGTAATTTTGAAGTGTGCAAATATTTGTTTAAAAAGGGGTTTAAACCACAGTACAAGTAAATCACTTAACAAACACAAGATGTTGTCAATTATAATTCTTTCATTCTCTTCAAAAAAGCTAGGCAAATGAAGTCTTTCTTTCATGTATTGTATTCATCAAGAGATTCATGTACATGTACTTGTAGACAACCAGAGGCCTAAATGTACATGTACATGTGGCTACCAGTCAACATTTCCATGATTTTAGAAAGTCTTTCCCAGGAAAAAGAGTAAAACGTGTTAAGGAAGAAAATGCAAATAAGGCAATCTTTTCTTGACTAATTTGTGAGGTTCATTAGCATACATTAAAATGTATCTTTTGTATTAATGCGGCTTGATGTGAACAAATTACATGTGCATGTACAGTGTAAGTGCATTCTTGCAGTGCTGAATCATTTTCTTGAAAAAGTTGAACTCTAACTGTGTCAAATTGAAGGATTAATGTGTTATTAAAAGTTATCATTTTTTTAACTAAACATGCATTTTCATATGCAAATGATAATCATGAAAAACAACATGCAGAAATATTCTTTTACACTTTGGTTATTAGGATATAATTGTTTTTGAAAATATGGTCCCTCTTTGAAATGATGATGTATGCGCATATTAATTAGGGTACAACTCCCAGTCGTGGTTGAAGTCGCAATTTGCCCTTTGCCTTTTACGTACAATACACGTGCAGTGGCAGAAAACTGTTAATAAATTTATTCTTTGAAAAATCACAACTCCCTAGCTCCTTGTACAATTTTGATCAAACAAATGCAGGCCCTCATTATTAATTACAAAGAATACACAGTATGCAAGAGATCAGAGCATTTGAAGCATGTTTTAATTTTTGCCTGACCTGCCTAGTCTGAGTGATGGCCCCAGAGGTGGACTTCACGTGTACCCCTCTCCCACGAGCTGGGTGGATGTCGGACCCCACTGTTCAGGGGGTAGTTAATATTTGGACGACCGACATCCAACCTGGGCTAAATAGCAATAACGTTAGGCCTAGTGCATAGCCTAAACAGATGTGTTGTAAGTCAACTTCACATGTTGTCCTTTTGTACATGCACATGTGTCATGGAGATTGTAAATCTTGGAATCCCTTTCCAATATCATGTACTGTGTGTAAGCCTATAGAACTTAGAAAGAAGATTAGATTAAGGCCATGAGAATAGAAGTTGTAGATTTGCGTCCTTACAATTTCAAAATCACATGAGACATTTTTTCATTATTCATGAAGCCTCTATTGATTATTTTATTTCAACCCCCAAATACAGCCAGGTTCAAGTATAATTCTGCCAAACTACGGTGCAACCAAAAGCCTTGCTAAGGGAGCTACATGTACATGTAGGCCTTCCGTCAGTTCATACATGTAGATCACATCAAATAGGGATCAACACAATAAAAAACCTGTAGTAAAATGTACATAATAAATGTGCAAGCCGATCTGACAGACGTGGGTCAACCATTGCTCAAGCAGATATCGGTCATTCCATGAAGTTCGGGCACAGTTTGTGACGGCGTCCCTTGTTACATCAGTGAAAATAAACGTCTTTTTTCCCTGCATGTGGATTCTAAATTAACATTGTTCTAAATCTTGCTAGGTTCTTGTAGTGGTGTGCTTCATCTTTGTTGAATAATAATGACTTAATCTGCTGTAATGTGAAAATTAAGGGCAATAAAAGTTACCGTTGTAACAAGAGACGCCGTCACAAACTGTGCCCAAACTTCATGGAATGACCCATATCTAGACATACAAAAGCCATCTAAAGTGATCTACATGTAAGTATGGATAAAATGCTTGAATATCCTGTTTTATACAGCTGCTAGAAGATTAAGAACTGACTCTGATTTTTGTGATTTTGTGTCCTTTTCTTAAAAGTTTCGTAAACACATGTAATGACAACGGGACATACTGGCGATGGATGCAAATCTACAACTTTTAAAGTACATGTAGATGACAATGACATTATTTCACCAAACTGCAGGGTTAATTTTGTAGAAACTAGGGTAGGGTTTTGATTTTTGAAGAAAAATTATGGGGTAAACACAACATCGACAAAGCCTGTGGAAGCATTCATCCACTGAAAATTATCATTGCGATAATGTCAAACATGCCTGGTAGAGTGTCTCCGATTGGTAACTGAACAGCTTCATTAGAAAGCTGATCTCTGATTGGTCAAAATGAGCTCAGTTGGGAGTAAGTGTATTGAAGAAAACAGCTAGACAGTGCACACATGCAGCCACTAGTACATGGCAATATTGTTAAAATTGCCTGGTAGAGTGTCTTTGATTGGTAACTGAACAGCTTCATTAGAAAGCCGATCTCTGATTGGTCAAGATGAGCTCAGTTGGGAGTAAGAGTATTGAAGAAAACAGCCAGACAATGCACACATGCAGCTACTAATAAATGGCAATATTGTTGAAATTGCTTGGTAGAGTGTCTCTGAATGGTTACTGGAAACTTTCATTAGAAATTTGATCCCGTATTGGACGAGATAAGCAGATTGGGGAGTAAGGGTATTGAAGAAAACAACCAAAGGTCATACAGTCTTCCATGTGTGTGTGTGAGTGTGTCGTATTGACCATGCATGTACATACATTTATGCGTACGTTGAGAGACAAATGGTAAGGAAGTCACATTTTTCTCCTATTTACTCTTCCAACTGTAACCAAATAGGATCGTGACAATCAAGACACATTGCCAGAATGTTACTCTTTTTCAGGGTGGACCTTTATTACTAAAAGTAATTAAAACACGGGGGGTTCCTGAAATTGACATTCTTTGTTTGTTGGCTGGTGCCTTGCACTACTGTGCAGTTTTCATGGTTTGGCTGGCATGTACCAGTAGGCCTACATGTACATGTACATATGCACTTGTACATGATGCCTTGTGGGGTTCCCGAACAATGGAAGGTACCCCACAAGGCCAATTTTGATCCTTGTGGGGTGCTAAAGTGGTACCCCACAAGAATTTCACGAAATAAATATTTCAAATTTACTCAAAAAGGAGGAATTTTCAAGTGCCATTCCTCTGTCGCAAATTGAAGTGTTTTATATAAGGGACGTACGGGCAAAATTTCAACCCAGGAAACTGAATTTGGTTGAAATGATGGCAGTGATTTGAAATTTTGTCCGTGTTGTGTGGGAGTTTTGTACACGAGAACGAAGGAAATACCCCACAAGTATACATACACTGTATGTAAGGGTGTATGTACTGAGGGAGTCTGAGGTCATATGAGGACTATGGTTTTTTTAATAAAGCCTCAGTAAACAGATTCCATTACTCTAGAATTCAACTTCCTGACAGATCCATCGCTCTGAAATTTGTGAGCATTTGATGGTTCTACAACCATGTGACTAAGCCTTTAAAATCTGAGCCTTTACTCACCACCCTGTCATTCTCTGGATTGACCCAATTCTATATATATCACAGTGTGATGTATGCAAAGTGCATGGTGCGTGGATCATTGTCATGTGGAGTATGAGAAGGTGGTGGGTGAAAGCTCCAATTTTTTTCACATAATGATCAGTCACATGGTTGTGAAACCATCATTCAAAAATGTTTTAGAGATAAAAGCGCCACTTTTGAATTTACAGTAAATTCTTCAGCCATACTGTTTGCGTAAGTGTAAAATAATGCAGTAGCGTGGTCAGAGGAGCACAGTATGGTGCATTGGATGAAACATGGACCTTGTGGCACAGTACAATATCACAGTTTTGTTGTCGTGGATCGACCAATCAGAGTTGAGGATTCAAGTTCCCTTGCAGTGTTAGTCTTGTTCTTGGACTCTGCCTCTTTGTTGTCTGTAGCCAGATGGACACAACTGGATCGCAGGAGCTGAGCCGACTGCAGGTGGAGATCTGCCCTGACTCCCTCCACTTTATCACTGCACCCGACGGATGCCGTCACGTCTTCCCCTTGGCACCCATCCGGATCCTCCCCAAATCCTGCAATGGACTGCACTGGGTGAGTGCAGCTTTAAACAAAAATCAGCAACAATTAGGGTTTTTTTTTTGCTTCAGGCCCAGGGCATGCTTTAAGTTTGGCTAGTAATTAAAATCTCCTTCATGCAAAATATTTACAAATCAGCTCACTCACTCTTCATGCGATCTGCACTGTGCAAAACAGTCTCAAAAATTTCAATTACTGTACATGTACATGTAGGTACACTCTACATGTATAAAGACTGATCCTGAGTATTTCTTCAGGTGTGTATCTTTGTTTATCAGAATGAAAAAAACCCCAAAAAACCTCGTACTTTGATGCACTTCTGATAAAACAAGTAGGATAATGTTAATGGCAGACTGTGAAGAGACACTAATGTACCAGGTACATTTACATGTACATGTACATGTTTGTATGTAGTGATACAAAAGTGTCTTCCCCTGGACATGTGCATGTTT